GGGGCATCTTCTTGACTCTTGCTCCCGCCTCCAGGCTCCTGCCCTGAGTTCCTACCTTGGACTCCCTGAGTGATGAATTATGACCTGGGAGATGTAAGCCGAATAAACCCTTTCCTCCCCAAGTTGGTATTGGTCAGAGAATTTTGTCACAGCAATGAAGAAACAAACTAGGACAACTATTTTGAACAATTACCAGAAAAATTTGCCCCTACTATTAGCTTCAATGATGTAGAGAAAAATATCAGAATTATCTAAACAAGTAGGATGTTCAAAAGGACATTAAAAAAAAGGGCATGATCTATAAAATCTGTGTTTATCACATGTAGGTTTAAAGGGGTTTTCTGTTCTCCTTGAAGGGCTAGGTCCCTGAGGTGTTTACACATCATTAGGCAGCCCTATGGTCTTGCTAGTCAGCCCCTGAGAGCTACTACACTTTCCAATTCTAAAACCATTAAGGCAGTAATGTCTCTGTTCCATTCCTGCAGTCCAGTGCTATGGAATAAAAATCAATTAGGTGCAACTCCAAATGGTGACACCTTAGCAGAAAATAGAGGATGCAACAGAAATAGCATCAGCAAACCCCAGCCCATGCCTCAGGCAGTTGTGCAGTGTGAGAGTGGTCCCACGACCCCTCTTAAGAGGTGCCATATGGTCTTATAGCTCCATTGAAGACAGAGAAAAGGATGGGGGAGGGGGTACATGCCAGAGAAGACAATTTCCTAGCCTGTTCCCATAAAATGCTATTTATATATTTGAGGGTACAAATTAAATTCCTTCTGCTTCACTCTACTAGACTGTATCACAGACAGTATTTGATAAAAATCCATGTTCCCCAAATTGGCTTGTAATCAGTTGTTTAGGATTAGGAATATATTTCTCAGTATTATAAAATAAATCGGTAAATATTTTCAAAACACGTTAGTTTTCAAAAGCAGTGTACAAATGTGTAGTTCATATTTGGTGTTGCAGACACTATTTTGTGTTTGTCTATAATACACTTTTAATGGGAAAAATAAAATGATATTTTGAATACATAAGGACCCCCCCCCACACACATCCTCTGCTCACCCTGAGGCCTGGCTGCTTCTGATAAGAATTGGTCTTAAGCCGGACGTGGTGGTGCACGCCTGTAGTCCCAGCACTTGGGAGGCAGAGGCAGGCAGATCTCTGTGAATTCAAAGCCAGCCTGGTCTACATAGTGAGTTCCAGGACAGCTGGGGCTACAGGGAGACCCTGCTTCAAATAGACCAAAAAAAAAAAAAAAAAAAAGGAACAAAAATAAAAATAAAAATAAATCTATATGCATAAAAAAAAAGAATTGGTCTTTAAAACTAATCTAAGAGTGGTTTCCTAATACCTGATTCCAGAAGAAAGCTGAGAGTTTTGAAGTTATTGAGGGATGGAATGAAGGGCAGTAGAAACCAAGGTGGGCATGACTTTCCCAGAATGCATTTAAAAGGAATTTAGAAAAATAATTATTAAATGGACTAACTGAACCTGGCAGTGTGGGTTCCACTGGCAGCAGCCATTCTAAATGCTGGCAGCGAAGGACTACTTGATATAAAATCTTGGTAGTTTATATTTAATTTTTTAAAGATTTACTTATTTTATTTATGTGTATGAATTTTGCTTGTATGTATGCATATGTACTATGTATGTGCTTGGTGCCCAGAGACCAGAAGAGGGCATCAGATCCCCTGAAACTGGAGTTACAGGCTATTGTGAGCTTCCATTCGGGTGCTGGGAACCAAACCAGGGTTTTCTACAAGAGCAACCGGTGCTCTTAACAGCAGAGTCATCTCTCCAGCCCCCTTACTAAGTTTGAATGCACAAAAATATCACCATCAAAAGGCAGACTTTACGAGCTCTTAACAGCTGAGCCATCTCTCTAACCCATCGCTAGTCTATATGCTAAACAATGGATGTGGTTACTATGGGGGACTTAGTGCATGGCTGCTGCTTGTTCACCAGTGGACATAACATGGGCTACACACACACACACACACACACACACACACGGATTTTGTTTCTTTAGTAAATTTCTAACAGTTTGAAAGGCTGTGCTCCCTGAGGCACAGCTCACCGCCCTGGGCTAAATGTATTAGTAAGTGCACATGGAAGCGAACTGAAAATCGTTGCACTGTGGTTAGAAAGATGAAGACACAGAATTACAGCCAGTTCAGTTCTGAATTCTGTCATCCTCTGACCAAATGAAGTGTTGACATTGCAAACCACAGAGCAGAGGGTAAACTGTGAAATTAAGACTTCCTTTCTATGTGTTGCGCAGACTTTGAATGTTAAAAGCACAGCGTCTGGTTGAGCTACGTTCTCCACCCAAGTTATATTACTGTGTGTGTGTGTGTGTGTGTGTGTGTGTGCATGTGTGTGTGTGTGCAAGTGCTTTGATGGCCAGAAGAGAGTGTTAAATCTCCTAAACCAGGAGTTATGGGTTGTGAGTCTCCTGACATGAGTGATGAGGACTGAACTCAGGGCTTCTAGTAGAGCAGCAAGCACTCTCAACCCTGAGTCCATAGCATTGCCTGGTAGGCCCAGGTGGTGACTGGCTGCATAAAGCGTCTGGTGCCACCTGCTTTCCTTTCCCTTCTTTCTCTTACTCCACTACGTTGCGCTTTTCTACTCCCTAAATTTCAATCAGCTCCCAGATCCCGGTCTTGAAATCTCTCAGCAGCCACACTGAAACATCCCGCAATAAAGCCATGTTGGATTTTCAGCTCTGCATGAATTCCTGGCAGGAGAGCACTGCACAGCATTTCCCCACAGCAGAAGCCAGGCCCCTCTGCCAGGCTGCAGTTACAGACAGCAGAGTGGGGGTGGGATCAAATGCGGCGTGTGGGGACAGGCCATCAAAGGCCGCCAAAGACCATCTTTTCTTTCCTTTACCACTCCTAGTCCTGGCACAGACTTTGAGTTCCAGTCTAAGTCACCGCCATAGTGACCCAGGGGCTTTGGGGAGGGCTCTAAACTGAGCATTTCTCTGATTTGGGACAGGAAAAGAAGGGAAGAGGTCGATCCAAGAGGCAGCTTGGAAAGGCAGGTTCGGTGTGGTGACTGGTCCAGGCTGGATGTCCAGAAGGGATACTCCCGAAAAGTGACAGAGGAAAGACTGACCCCCATTCATGTCTTCAAGCTCTTAGACGAGATCGTTAGAGTCAGTCTAGAGCTTGGCACAAAGTGCAGTGACAGTTCTTCTCTTTCTCTTCCCCAAATGACACCTGTCCAGGACCTCAATGTAAATCATGGAGTCCCTAGGTGTCATGCCTGTGTCAATACATATTTAAGGCTTCATGGGTCATTCTGACAGAGCATGAAGTGAGGACCAAGAACTGGACTGTTTATGAAAATAATGACCTCATGTGATGTAATGAAATTAACCCCTTCTTATTCAGATATGTCTGATGAGAATTCAAGGTCTCCCACAATTTTATAAATAAATTTCAAACTGCACAGCCATGGTTAATTGACCCCTATCCAAAATGAATGTGCTTCTCTGTCACTGTATACAATGATAACGTAGTTTGGAAATAAATGGATTTTCTGATGATGCTTACTGTCTCCTAGTATCTGCATGGAAAGAATGAATTCACATGTGTAAACATATGATGGATCATCACAGTGTATAAAATATCACCAGCACAGCATTGCACTGGGCAGTGTCAGCTTAGAGCTGAACCCTGAATTAAAGGCATGAATCACAATTCTTTTTCTACTCCAGCAGTCTAAGAACCCTGGCCCCCAAACCCTGGATTTTAGGGTAAGGTTCAGCTTGGTAATCAACTCCAGCTTTAGAGAAAAGCTGGCATTTTTATGCATGCACAGAGAAAGCAAGGCAGAGAGAGAGAGAGATGCATATGTACGTGTGTATATGTGTGTGTGTGTATGACATGAACATATGCATCCATCTGTTTGTGTGTGTGTGTGTGTGTGACATATAAGTACATAAAACACCTGGATAGATTGGAGCCACAGCATACCAGAAGACTACTTATTCCTCGGCCCACCATATTCCACCTTTTTTTTCTGCTTTAAAATGTTTACATTGGGCACAGTGGTACGTGATTTTAATCCCAGCACTCGGGAGGCAGGGGCAGGCAGTTCTCTGAGTTTGAGGCCAGGCAGGTCTACATAGTAACTTGTAGGCCAGCCAGAGCTACATAGTGAGACTCCATTCTCGCTCTGGTTCCCAGCACCCATATCGGGCAGCTTATGATCACTTGCAACTCCAGAGCCAGGGGGTCCAATGTCTCTGCCCTCCGCAGGCACCTGCACTCACATGCACATACCCACTTACAGATCAACAGACACACACACACACACACACACACACACACACAAATAAAAATAAATATTGAAAATTTAAAATGTCAAAAGTAAGAGAGATGGATATGAATGATGGATCTCTGCATCAGTCCTCCTTCTCTGGACCTCAAACAAATATCTTTAAACTGTTGGGAGAATAAATAAGATAGTATTTGGAGCAGTCTGGCTCCAGCTGTACATAATAGAAGTTTTCAGATGTCCAATGGTCCATATCACATAAGATTTGGTTCGTTACATGCTATGCAACACTTAACAGAGAGGTTTTAATCGAAAGTACATGAAACTCTGTGTGGATTGCAGCACTATTATGGGAGCAACTCCAGAAAAGTAATGTTGGAAGCAAGTGTATGGGAATGCCTGAGTCATGGCAGAAATCTAAGGGTATTTTAGAGTTACAGTTCACCTTATTCTGTGGTGCTTACACACACACACACACACACACACACACACACACACACACACACACACGGACTGCAAGCCCTAGAAACCCTCCTTTGTCCCCATGTGAATGATATTTTCCTTGTCATTTTAACTATTTTGTGGCTGAGGAATTCCACGTAATAATTGCCACTTTTCTGCCACCCCCGGCTCCCCTGCTGCAAAGATCTCATCTGTTAGGTAACTGCAGAGCTGTTGAGAGAGGACGGGAAGCCCAGTCTCACCACTGTTGTGGGCCTCCAGCTGCGAGGCGGAGTTCACAGCCACCTTGCACAGAGAACAGTAAAGCAGCCGCTTTGCCTTCTCCTCCTCCGTCTCTGTGGAAGGACACGCGCTGTTGCCAGTGGCTGCGGGGGAACTTTTTTCCACTTTAGAAGCGACCTCCGTTGTCATAGTACTGGTCCTGCGCGTTTCCACACTCGGGGTCGTTGATATTGCTGGTGTGCCTGCGGTACTGTCTGCATTCAAAACAGCATCGGACAGAGTGTTAGGAAACGGGAAAGGCATCACTGATGTTACACACTGCGCCAATGACAACAACAGTAGACAGATGCTGTTGCTTTGAAACTGTACCTCAGTCATTGCACCCATCACTGATGACCACAGTGCACTTCACACATTGAAATAGAGCGGTGAGTTGACCCTTCAAAATATACACAAATTCAACTGAAAACTATTCTATAGGTGAGGAAGCACACCACAGATTCCTCTGAACACTCTGCCTCAGTGGAGTAATTCTAACAATATCACACACACAAACACACACACACACACACACACTTCTATACAGGGAGTTCCTTCTTAATATGCAGGATAAATACTCTTATTTATTTTCCTTTCCCTAAGCCCCTGTCTTCCCTTTCCCTTCTATATTTATTTAAACAATAGCACCGATTCTTTGGGACAGACTTAGGAAAATATATAGACCCTTGATATCAGAATTGCTCTGTCCAGCCCAACAGCTCACTGAAAACCACCACTTATTTACAAGGAATTTTAATGCCATTCCCAATACAAAATTCACATGGGGAGGGGCTGGAGACATGGCTCCGTGGTTAAGAACACTGGTTGTTCTTGCAGAAGACCCAGGTTCAAATCCCAGCACCCACATGGCAGCTAACAACTGTCTGTAACTCCAGTTCCAGGGGATCCGACAGCCTCTTCTGTCCTCCGCAGGCATTGCACCACAAGGGGGCACTTACCTACATGCAGGCAATACACGGATACACATAAAATAAAAATAATAAATAAAAAATATTAAACACATGGGAAATTCTAGTCTAGCATATGTATTAATCACGCGCTGTGCATCAGGATGGGGCAGGACACTCGTGGCAGGTATGCTCAGTCAAGAACATATTACTCTCAAGGAATTCTCAGGCTTATCACACCGAGTGTGAGCGCTTCAAGAATTTGATGACCATGAAAGTGTTGATGCACCGTAACCCAACAACCATTTGGTTCCCAAATCTGATACTAAATCTGGAGAGCTCAACCTTTAAAGTGCTACTACCTTATCCTAATGTCCCTCCTCTCACATATGTCAATCAATCACTACAATACTGGCAATGCTAGTCATTCCCAATAATCGTTTAGAAATGAGTTCTGCACTGGGCTGCTGTCTGCACACGTACCTGCCTAGAACTTGCCAAGTAGGCTTGGCTGGCCAGCTAGGGAGCCCAAGTATTTGCCTGTCTAAGCCTTCCAGCACTAAGATTGCAAGTTTGCACCACCACACCAAGCTTATTCTTTCTTTAAATATCTGTTGTTTTATTTTTAATTAGATGCATATGTGTGTGTCTGTGTGTGCATGTGAATGTGCATATGAGTACTTCCATGTACTCATGGAAGTCAGAAGAGGGCACTGAATTCCCTGAACCGGGAATTACAGGCAGTGGTTATGAGTCCAATGTGGATGCCAGGAACTGAACTCGGGTCTTCTGGAAAAGCAGGAAGTGTTCTTAACTGCTGAGCCATCTCTCCACCCCAACACACCCAACATTTTTATGAGGTTCTTGGAGATCAAAATTATGCCTGTCAGCACTTGACAGACGGAACTATCTCTCTAGCCCTCTAAACATTTATTATCAACTTGTATTTTCTGATACACTGATTGCAAAAAGGATGCTTTCTAACTTGCATATGTCCTTTAATTAGGTATAGGTGTAGGGCTGTGGACCAAGGCTGCTTCTTTGAATATGACATCAGAAACAAGAGTCCCAAGAAGAAAAATGGGCTCATGTTAAGGGCTGATCTATAAAAGGATCCATCTGGATCTGGATTCCTTCACCCAACACATCACACACTTCTAATCACTTATTTAGCAACTAAGATCGCCAAGCATGTCTCCTGCAGTGGAGGGGTAAATAGTCACCAGTGAGGTATATATTTTAAGAGAGTCGCACTACAAATCATTGCCTCGGGGCCGAAGATTGACAAAGGCAATTACTTTTACTTCCGCTTGTGTCATCTGAACGCATTTACACCCAGAACATGGAAATGCCCACATTCTTTTGCTTGTAATTTATTTTGGAGGGCGGTTTGAGACAGGGTCTCCCTGGAGCCCCAATTGGCCTGGAACTTACTATGTAGACCAGGCTGGCCTCAAGCTCACAGAGATTCACCTACCTCTGCCTCCAGAGTGCTGGAACTAAAGGCATGTGCCACCACACCCAGATTTAATTTTAAATTGTTAAAAGTTTTCTCTCTCTCTCTCTCTCTCTCTCTCTCTCTCTCTCTCTCTCTCTCTCTCTCTCTCTCTCTGTGTGTGATACATGTTTGCAGGTGTCTGCTGAGACCAGAAGAGGGTGTCAGGTCCCTGGAGCTGGAGATACAGAAAGTGTGAGCTACCTGATGTCACTGCTGGGAGCTGAATATAGATCCTCTGCAAGAGCAGTTTTTGTTCTTAGCCACTGAGCTTTCCACTCAACTTTCAGTTGTCCACTAAGTTTCCATTATTGAAAACGCAGAAACAGTCTGAAAATTTCTATGAGAATCTAGAAAAGCATAAAATCAACATCTTTCAGGTGTTTCCATAGCTGTTTCCTGCCCCTAGTAAACAAAAGTGATTGAAAATATGTGTTTGTGAATTTATGACTAGTGGCCAAGTTTCCCAGGGTTTTATGTGATTAAAGTTAATTTTATAAGCTTTTAAAATCATTTCATTTAAGCTGCAACTAATCTGGGGAAATCAGGAAGTTCCAAAATGTAATGAAATATCTCAAGATACTAAGATAGGGTGGACCCAGTGAAATACTTCACGACATCGGACAAAAAAATGCTGTGGATGTTCATCTTGGCCATGAACATGACTGACTGTGGTGAGATCAGGAGCAGCTCTGGGCTACAGACACAGAATCCTTCCTAAAACCAGCTCTAAGGGCAGTGACAGCAGTAAACACAGATATACTTGAGTCCAGCACAGCCACATTCTGAAGCCACAGCATGCCACTGTGGATGTTTATGGCATTTATTCCATTGAAATGGACCATGATAAAGATTCCCTTACTTTTAATAACTCTTCTTCTGGACCCACATATTTCCTTTATGTATTGAACTGGAAATTGTGCATAGCATAGACCATGTTAATCCCAAGATAACATTCTTATTTACAATGAAATTTGTTTGTAAAAGTATAAAATACAATTATGTCTCTTCCGATCCCTGTGACTGCCACATTGATATCTCCTGAACCCAGAGGATAAAGCTCATTTATACCAAGGAAATCATTAGATTAGAGATGTTGGCATCTCTGTGCATAGGACTTACAGAGCATTAGCGTCTCCTTAGGCAGGTTCCTAGTCTGAGACATGATTTCAGGAACTCATAGCTCAAAGCTAAACTTGCTACTTGTCAGTTGTGAGCCACACCTTTCACCGTGCAGCTGAGGACAGTCCATTCTATTTAAACGTGCTGTTATTTTGACAGGAGTGCAAGGTGACATTTTGTTAATTTTAATTTAAAATTTAATATGTAGATCTTCATTTTATGAGAATTTTTACATATTTACAACAAAGCTTACATTTTTCTCTTACCTTTGTTTTATCTGTGATAAAAGAGCCTTTACTCAGGCCAACAAATTAACTTAAAAATATTTAAGATTCTGTCTTATTCAAAGAAGATTAGCAGTCTGTATATTGTAACAAAACCAGTGAAGACATTTTCCATAACATGATGCATTAACTCACCAACCGTCTATCATTCTTATCTACTCACTAAAGTAGCTGGTGAGATTGAGCAGTGGAAAGGCTGCCAAGGCTTTAGCCTGAGCGCCACATCGAGGAAGGAGAGAACCAAATGCATCAAGTTGTCCTCCGACCTCCACATGTGTGCCACCGCATGGCATGTGCTTGGGCTTGTGTGTGCACGCGCACACACACACCAAATAAAATGTAATGAAAAAGAGAACGTTCAAAGTTTGATTAGGTTTTCAGCACTTCAGGTGATGAGAATTACCTCTCTAGTCTTCCTCCTTGAAACTGCCACCCCTTATCTCTACATAAGAAAGCATAAAACCTAAATTGAGGGGTGCTCTACAGGTACTTCCTGGTCAGTGCTCCCCAAACCATCTAGGTCGTCAAGGCAAGTCTGGGAGACTGACACAGTGCAGGGCACCTATGACACGTAAATGTCATGCTATAAGACAGGACGGTGAGATAAGAAACAAACAAACAAGGAAATGAGGAAGGCCTGCATGTGGATTACGTAAGAAATCTGAAAAAAGCGTAAACTTTAGTTAACGGTCCATCGATTTGGGTTCACTCGTTTTAACAAATGTACCACAGTAATTTGAAATACTAACAATCTGAGAAACTTGGTGCATGGTGTAGAGGAACTAAAACATTCTTGTTCCTTTTTGGAAATCTAATATTTTAAAATTAAAGCGTATTAAATGCATAACACAAGGGCAATAAATAGCACATCAGCCTGGTCAGTGTGTAGAGTCATAGTCAGGAGGAACTTTCAGGGTTTTACAGCATAGTTTTCTTGATTTTTTTTAGACAGAAAAGTTCCAATAAACTTTCCAAGGTCAAGCTGTGTTTGAAAATGGAAACTTGAACTCAACACTACTTAACCTATTTCCAAAACTCATGTTGTCATTCTACACTGAAATGACTCATATCCTCGAGCTCCACCCCATCCACATTCACTAAACAGCTTCTGTGTGCTGAGTTCAATATTAATCCACTGAGAATAATGAGGCCCATAAATACAGATCACGTACTAAGTAGGGGAACGGCTTACGAGATGTCTCATAAACACTACAACAGTAATGATCATTATAAACTTAACCCTTCATCTGTTCTGTTCATTGTTACATCTTTGTAGTTATCCTTTGTAGAAACCGAGCACTTAATGAATATTTATTGAAAGAATGATTAAGCAAACAGTACTGAGCACCAGAAAGTACTTTTACAGCAGTTACAGGTGTCAAATCATTCAACTCATAAAAGCCCAA